CGAGGGGCTGGAGGGGCTGGAGGGGCTGCGCGTGGGAGCCCCCGCCCCGGAGACGGAGTGGGGGACCCTTGTGGAGGGATGGGCCGGTGCGGGGTAGGCAGGGCTCTGGGTGCCGGGGAGGGGAGGCAGACGACGGAGCGAACTCCCTAGTTCCCCATAAGCAGAGCCTTCGCGGAGGGTGCAGGGAGGGAGGCTGCGGTCCAGTCTGGGGGGCACTGGGCTGACAGCTGCGAGGTGCCCGAGGGGAAGCAGGCTGCCCTGGTGTGGGCTTGGCCTCGTGGTTGCGCACCCTAACCTTGGCTGCTCCACTCTGCCCTGATTCCTGGTCAGGGTTGGGACAGTACACTGACCTGCCCCCGCAGGCAGATTCTTTGGGCTCCAGCCAGCCTCAGGGTAGAAACAATGGTGCCCAGCGTCAGTCTGTTCTCTTTGGTTCTCAGGTCTTTTCTCCTGGCACCCTGTATTCATGGCCTTGGCGGTGAGTTTCGGCTTCCGTATGCGGCTGATTGGTGTGGCTCTGTCCCTAGGGGAACATCCAGGCTCCAGAAGGCCCAGCCTTGCTAAGGCTCCGGGGTGGGGAGCAGGCCGCCTCCAGCTTTCCCTGCCGCCTTTGAGAGCGGGAGCAGGGAGGGCTGGGCTGTGCCAGGTAGTCAGTGGGGGTGGGAGGGCATGGAAGGCATTTCTGCACCAGGGCCTGGGAGGCGGGGTGATATACAGCCACTCCTCCCCCAAAGTTGGGGAGGACGTTTTTAACATTTGTTGTTTCCATTGGCCAAGAAATGGGAGTCTTTGTCTGAGGGCAGGTTGGGGAGGCGGGGGCGGAGATCGTGGACTTTGCATGTCAGCCTGAATGACAAGCGACTTCCGCTCAAGTGTAGACTCCCCATGGTGCCCAGCCAAGTGGGCCTGTGGGGCAGGAGGTCCTGGTGGGCTTCTTTAGCCCCCACCCCGTGTCCTTGTTTGGATATAAGTAGGAGGGCACCTCCCTTTTCTCAGACGCCCAGCTGGCCGTCAGGCTCACTGGCCCTCTCTCGTTCGCAGTTCTGCGTCTGCATGGCCGAGGCCATCCTCCTCTTCTCGCCTGAGCACTCCCTGTTCTCCTTCTGCTCCCGAACGGCCCGGATCCGACTGCACTGGGTGGGGCAGAGCCTGGCCCTCCTCTGCGCAGCCCTGGGCCTGGGCTTCATCATCGCCAGCAGGACCCGCAGCGAGCTGCCCCACCTGGCCTCCTGGCACAGCTGGGTGGGGGCTCTGACGCTGCTGGCCACGGGGGGCCAGGCACTGTGTGGGCTCTGCCTGCTCTTCCCCCGGGCAGCCAGGGTCTCCAGGGTGGCTCGCCTCAAGCTCTACCACCTGACGTGTGGACTGGTGGTCTACCTGATGGCCACCGTGACGGTGGTCCTGGGCATGTACTCGGTGTGGTTCCAGGCCCAGATCAAAGGCGCCGCCTGGTACCTGTGCCTGGCACTGCCCCTCTATCCAGCCCTGGTGATCATGCACCAGATCTCCAGCTCCTACTTGCCGAGGAAGAAAACGGAAATATGACTCCCTCCAAACTCTGACTCTAGCTGGCACCCTGGCCTTGGACTTCAGTGGTCTGTTTGGTGACCTTCAAGGGCTCCACTCCCGAAGTGGTAGGGTTTTTATACTCTTAGCTGGGCTGACGGGTGACTCCGTGGACTGAAATGGGGAAACGTACTGGGTGCAAGTAAAAGGTGATGGGGAGCTGGGTCCTGAGCCTCCACTCTGGACGGGAGACAGAGGGTTGGGTCCTGGTGGTGCCGCCATTTCTTGGCTGCATGCCTGATGGAGGGTTGGGTTCCTGCAGTTGTGAAAGGCAGCCGTGGCTCTTGGAGTCACTCTTGAGAAAGCACTTGGTGTGGTGGACAGAGCCCTGGGTCTTGTTCATAGTTATGGTCCTCGTAGGCTCTATTGTGTGACCTGACGCACGTCCCATGTCTCAGGAGCTCGGCTTCTAAATGACCTCTAACATCCAGTGTCTGTGAGGCTGACCTCACTGCACACCCTCCAGCTCTGGACCGGGGCTGGACCACGTAGAAGACTCAGGATGTGATTCTTACACCCATTGTCCGCTGACCACTCTGGAGGGACAGATCTGTCCTCATGGCCTGTCGGGAATCTATGCTGATTTGGCCCCAGACCAGGGCACGAGGGGTCAGGCACTGTGGAGGGAAGGGGGCCAGGTGAGGATCTCCTGAACTCCAACACAGCAAAGGCACTAAAGTCACTTTAAAGCCATGGGAGAGCCCTGGCCGGTGTGGTTCAGTGGATAGAGCATCCACCTGCGGACTGAAGGGTCCCGGGTTTGATTCCAGTCAAGGGCACATACCTCAGTTGCAGGCTCGATCCCCAGCCCTGGGCAGGGCACGTGCGGGAAGCAACTAGTCAATGTGTCTCTCTCACATCGACGTTTCTCTCTCTGTGTCTCTCCCCCTCCCTTCCACTCTCTCTAAAAATCAATGGAAAACTATCCTCGGGTGAAGATTACCAAAAACAAAAATAAACTTTACAGAGCTGTGGGCGAGTGGAGGGCACTGGTTTACCCAAACCTGGGGCTCCTGCCGGGCTGCTTGCCCCCTCGGGCTCGAGGGCTGAGGGCAGGGCTGTGCTCCTCCCCTGACGTCCAGTCTTGGTGGCCAAGTCGTCCTGGGCACCCCGTGTTTTGCCCTCCTTGGGCTCAGCTTCTTGCCTTAGCACATAGCTCTGTGCAGCTGTCCCGAAGCTTCTAGAACAAAATAGGAGCCCAGGCAGCGGGGCAGGGATCTTGTGACCTCGGAAAGGCCCCTCTTCCTTGTCACCCACGTTTTCCTCTCTGTCATCTCTCGCCAGCCCTTTGGCCCAGCAGCAGGGCTGAGTGCGGTGCCAGCTGGCACACGAGGGCCAGGCCCTCTTCCCTGCAGAGCCCCCTCCTGTTCCACATTGAAAGCAGTTCCCCAGACTGCCCTCAGCGACGAGGGGTGCCAGGCCGGCTCACTGTGGTCCATCCGGCTCAGTTAGGGAGAGGGGATCCCCATAGATCCTGGCAAGGAGTGCAGGCGGCTGACCCAGGAGAGCTGGTGTTGAGCAGGTGGTCACAGCTTGTGGGGCTCTGGGAGGCCTGGGGGGTGGGAGCTGGAGCTCCGGGTCCCGGGACCAGGGGAGGTGTTCCTAGGTGGCAGCATTGGGGTGTCCCAGGTCTTTCGAAGATTCAAGACCTCCTCTCTGGTGGCTCAGAAGCACGGAGTTGGGATGACTCCACAGCACAGGGACGGGACTACACGGGCAGAGGCATCCCCGAGGGGACTCCCTGGGCGCCTCCTGGTCACATGGCCTCTCCCAGGAGCTGTGTGGACCTTGAGCACGTGGGGTCACTGATCGCCTCTCCATCCGACACAGCCCGTGCTGGGAGTCTTGCCCTGTCTGC